GGGGGGGGGGGGGGGGGGGGGGGGATGGAAAACATGAGTGCAGAAATAATTTGTTTGAGAATAGAAATGAAAATAAATAGTTATAGAGTAATCAATATACAATCATACCGCTAGTCTAGCAACTTTAGCCAGCTTCTGCTTCATTTCAGGTGACAATCTCCTTTTGACAGCCTGACACGAAATATCAGCATCTGGAACCTCCATAGTTGGTGGTCTCGCTGTTATGTTTTCACATAAATGAGAATTTAATCAATATCCTATATTGATTAAATTGTCATTAATGAAGATTATAATTGTCAGGACAGTAATCTAACATACATTCTGCAACCATCTTCTCTAGCTCCCTAATGGATTTTTCAAGCATCCCAATTTTTGGTCTGACACTAGAACCGTCCTTCCTCTGTATAAATGGGGCCTTCTGCATAATTTAACGTACGGCATCAAAATGGAATAGTGACAGTGGTAACAATCAAAATATACAGCAAAATATAACTACTTATATTGTCTTGATAAGAAACAAACTGAAGAACATTTGAAAGGCAGTAAATGTAACACTCGCTGTTGATACAGCAGTTATCATTCATCGCCAACATATTAGAGAAATCGATTGAAAAACATGAAAAAGAAAAAGATCGCAAAGATTCAGTGTATAATTTTTCATGCACCAGAATATAACACTAAACAATTTCCAATACAGCCTTCAACTTGTACAAGTCTAGAGTCTCTGGATGGGTCCAAATAGTGAACTGCCAAAATAAATGGCCCAAAAGGGCCAAAACACTTGGTAAAGGAGCTGCTGCCAAAAAAGGACCAAAACATGCAGTAAAGGAGCTTCTTTATGCATATGGCATTTGGAACTCCTCCTTTAGTCCCCTAAAATCACCTGCATTCTATTGTCATAAGACCTTTACACAATCTTTTTGTAGCCACTCAAAGTAAAAATTATACAAGATCTTTACACAATCGCTTTTATTCTCAACCAATGTTGAGCATTAATAGATCATTACACAAGTTTATTATTTGCAGCAATAAGGATAGCAACACAGATGAATGACCAAAGAAATTTGAAGATATTTACAAGTAATGCCAATAGAATTTGACACAATCCTGGGTGACAGGCAAGCAACAATGTAAACTTATAATGTTTGAAATCGTGATAAAAATAACTGACAAAAAACTACATGGATTCACTTCAAAATCAAATTTCACTGACTATGCTAGGGTCACGTTAGGTTGCTTAAAACTCCAAATAAATGGCCCAAAGTATCAAGTAGACACCAAAATGTGGCACTTGCACTTGTGAAATTAATCCATTGCCAAGATGAAAAGACATACGAGAAAATATAAATCAAAGAAAACTACTGAGTTACTCACAACACTTTGCATAGGGTGTTTGCCCTCAGGGACATTGACATCAGGTCGTTCACTAATGGTACTTTTATCTTTCCGCTGAACTGATTGATCTAAATCATCAACATTGTTTGGTAACCTTCCAGATTGAGATTTGCATTGTGCATAAAAACTTTTCTCGATCGACCTCTGATTTGAAGTATCAGATAATTCACTTTCCTCTTTCATTTTGTTACCGCAGTTCTTAGATGGCAGGACTATTGTCTTCTGCTTGTCAATATCCTTTTCCTTTGAGGGAGATGGATCTGCAAAAGTTCTAGTATCACCAGGTTTCTTTTTAAAAGAAACCTCAGAATCATTCACTTGATTCTGAAATTTCAAATCTTCAGAATATATTGTTGGTATGGCAATACCCTGAGACGGATAAGTAGAGTGATTCCCAACTAGCGGTTCTGATTTTCCAGCAATCTTCTTTCCAACTTTGACATGTTTATTTAAAACATGTCCATCATCACTCCCACCATTGCCTTTTGCCAAATCTTTCCGCCTCCTTTTTTTCGGTTGCTGGTTTGCCAATAAAGTAGGTTCTCTGCTAGCAAAAGGGAAACAAATTGGAATCAGTAAAGCAAATGCACATTTCCAAATCAATTCATCCCAACAAATTCATTCTTGTTCTCTTCCATACAGTCAAATGGCAATGCATGAGCAAGAACTGTGTTCTCTAAACCTATATCCCAAGATAATCAAGTAATATTTTTTTATAAGTTTTAGAGCATCCAACTCAAAACTAATTGTTAACGAGTGTAGAGACACCCAAGTGTGTGTGTGTGTGTATATATGTATATATATTTTAACACTCAAGTATATAAACCAACCTTGGTTGGTCCTAATCAGTCAATATTGGATACCAGCTGAAGCAAGAAGGAAAAAGAAGGAATCAGAGGAAAAGAAAAAAAGACGGGGTGGAATCAGAGAAGACACAAATTCTCCGCAGAGAAACACTTTTATTAATATAACTCCCTCTAGTAAAATAGAAGAGATTATATCGATATTTCTAGGTCAAGTCTCCTACCAAAATAGTAATTATTTTCCTACTAAAATCCTAAAATAAATATTCCTAATGAGATAAAATTATTCTTCTAATAAAACTCTATTCAAAACAATCCTAATAAGATAAATACTAGCTAACCAAACAATCTACAAAATATTTAAAAAATAAATAAAATTTTCAATTTGATCTTTATCCAATCTTTTTTCGATCTCCATCACAAGCTCTTTTTACATCGTCTCTATTGTGGGACTGGACTCACACGTGGGACTACCAAACAAACAAGCAACCATGCATACAAAAAAAATTTAATGGAAAAAAGACTTGATCCATTAACTCCCTCAAGGCCCAACTCTGATTCCATGTTAGAGCATCCAACTCAAAACCAATTGGTAATGAGTGAACAGGTTCTCAAGTATATAAATCAACCTTAGGTGGTCCTACTCGGTCGATTTGAATATGAGCTGTTTTTACAGTAAGCTCAAGAAGATTATAGACAATGGAACACACTACCTTTACCAACAACCAACTTACTAAAAGAACTATAAATTAATGTTTGACAAATAGAAACTTTAGAGGTAACCAACAATGAACTGTTCATAATTCTACCTCCCCATCTATAGCAATCCGCTTTGAAAAATTTAACCCATTCAACATAATCCTTGCCCTTGTCCTCAATCCAACCTGAGATACCTATACTTGTCCCAGGGCACAAGTACCATTTACCGTATTATTTGCATCTTGGTGCCACCCCTCTTCCACTGTCACCGTCCAGGCAAAAAAGCTATCTTGGGAGAAATTCTACATTTCTAGATAGCCTTCCAAGGGAAAAAAGAATATATGTCATCCCAAGTTTAAGCTCAATAGAAGCTTAGAAGGACTGCACTATGAACTTGCCATTAGCCAGTAGCTTTCAAATTCAAGAATGAATACTTCAGTACTCGTGTAATTTGAGCTCCATAAAATAATTCATGAACACCTCTACAACCTCCAACTCGTAATCGAAGAAATCTCTTCTAAATTGAGGCTCCCAAGAAAGTCCCAACACTCCCTCACAATTTATTTTTTGGTCAGAAGCGAAAACAACACACTCAGATAATCTATCACCATGTGATTTTGTGCATTGATATTCTGATTAGATCTAGGCCTAATAGTAAGGCTGCTCCATTGTAACTTGGGTGTTATGAGTTTGAATCATGGAACATTCCACCCTCTCTACATGAAGAGAAAGGGTTGTGTGCATCTAACCCTTTTTAAAACCTGCAATGGCGAAAGTTTCGTGCACTAGGTTGCCCCTTATATCCTGATTATATCTCAAAATCTAACTTCAAAAGCTATTTATCATAATAGGAGTCAAACATTCGAACACAAATCTCACCTTAAAACTAGAAGCAACTAGGAGCCAATAAATTTACAAACTAATTCCAACATTTTTTAAAGTTTATCCACAGACCAGCATCATCAGATTGCCAAGAAAGTAGTTTTTTTATTTGAGTTATATCAGAAACAAACTTTGGGTGGACATCTTAATTGTCCTAATTACCTGAATACAAGCCAATTAAAAAAAGCAAGGAGAAAACATAGAGAATAATGTGATTGTGTTAACAAAGTGCTAAAATAACTCACATTCGTTCCAATTTCCCCCGATTAACAAAGAAACCATCATGTTTTATTGCAGAGTTGTCAACCTGAAAATACTCATCCTGCACAACAAGAGAGCAAGAATTATAATATTGACGTCACCAGTACATGAAGAGCTCTATGATACCCACAATGCAACCTAGTTATGCCGCACAAAAATCGACCTACCATGCACGAGAAAACAAATAATAAAAAACTAAAACCAACCAGCTCAGCATCATCTATAAAAGAATCTTCTGTGTCATACTCATCATCATCAGGAACATCATTAAGATCTTCCTCATCACTACTATGCTTACCCTGAAAAATGGAAGTTATCACCCAGACCATTAAAGATTCAAATAAAGTATCATCAGATTTGAGATGTTATTAAATACATCATACGTGTATAAAATCTGTTGTTCAAGTGAATAGCACCCAAAAGTTTTTTAGACACAAAACTTTCAGAAGAAATATTGCGTACCATGTATAGGCGTTCGATCTTCTCAATTACAGCACTAAAACGACTTGCAGGAGGCACATCATTCACTTCATTTTCAGCGGGTTGCCCCTTCAAATGCAAGAAACAACTAAGAACAACATAGACAAGTGCTACTGCCTCCGCATATATTTTCCAATTGTGCATAAAAAAAAGTATGGGGACCCTCGTACTCACGGCAAGAGGACATAAAAATGACATGATTAGATTTCAAATCGTGCATGATGGACCCATGAGTAGACACGACAAAAATATAACATGCTTGGGTTAAGAATATAGTGGACAATATGAAAAGCATGCTTCCGGAATAGAGCACATACAACAAGTCTCTGTTTTCACGAAATACTTTATACAACACAAATTTATGGTGTAGAGCATAATTATGCACAGTAAACTAAATTCACCATAAAGAATGGTATCACATAAGAATCACAACTGCATAAAGTTTATTAAGAATCTAACGTGGGAAGAACTATTATTGCACAAATACATCCTTATCGTTGCACTGTGAAAATATACCAGCTCACACAGTTGATTGGAATTATTCAGTCACAACGGGTACGTACTGTTATATCACCAAATAAAATAACCATGAGAAAATTGCAAACCCGCATAATAACATGCACAATAAAAATTACCACTCTTAGTCGGACTGAGATCTCACATGTACACAAGGAAATGTCTATGAGAAATAAAAAATTTTGATGATGGAAAATAAGAACAATAACAGGTCAATAGCACAGTTCCTGCACTATACACACAAATACAAGTATGTACCTTGAATAATATTTAACTCACTGTCGCACAAAGAGACAGACTTGTGAATTAAAAAAACTATTTCACGAGATTAGAAAAAGCAGAAAAGCCAATGGTGATAAAAGGAAGAATCATTCACAGGATGAATTAAGTTGCAAGAATTGTAACTGTTCGAAAAGAAAATTCTATAGAATACAACACGTCCTAGATTTTTAATTGCAAGTACCATTATTGGGTATCGGCCGAGGGAGAGAACGAGTAAATCCCTTAAGTTCAAAACAAACGGGAATTTTCTATACAAACGAGCCTATAACAGGTTTCTGTGTTCATTAATGAAATCCTATTGAAGATTGGACCCGATTGTATACTGTCTGAACCTCTATCATATGGTGCAACTAATTGACTGCAATTCATATGTTGCATTGACTATGTCTAATCACTTCCAGTACCCTTCAGCTGTTCAGCATCAAAGTTCAAATGTCAATTTTCATATCTAGGACGGAAATAATATCACACTTGCAGTCAAGTTAACATTTATTCACATGTGAATCACAGACCATAACCATGATTCTATAAATGGTATGTCAGCTCATTCCATCCCCAAAGGAACAACCCTCAACACTTAACATAAGAACAATATGATGAGCACAAGAGCAGAAACACCTCAACTTACATCAATTGCAGTAGTTAAAATTTATATCAAGTTCCCACATAAACATACTTAAAATACAACTTCAAGCACACAACCAAACATTACTTTACCTCCAATTCATTATAACAACAATTACCATCAACAACACAACCATCATGAATGACAGCATATTTAAATACCGAATAGTATTTTGTTTCAGTCAATTGCCAACCCATAGAACTCAACAGTGATTAGTACTCTACAACTTCTTCACTAATGCTGCATTCCGAAACATGGAATTTGTTACTTTCAATGGAATTGACTACGATGTTAATTCATATTTCAACTGGTTTCCTCAAATTCCAATTCCAGGGCATAAATTCCATGCTTCCACGCACGACCTAACTACCAAAACGCAAATCAGGCAATGAACACAAATTAACAGTTTGATCATTTCCCCAATTCCACAAACAAAACACTAAACACAATTGATTAATTGAACTTAACTACAGTCTCACCGGAGCTATATGGGACTCCAGGTTGGGGTGAGCAATGGGCGTAGGCTCGGGGGCCGAGGTGTGGCCATTGACCTTCTTCGCGTCTTTAACAAGCTTCTTCCACGACACAATTGTGGTCTCCCCTGGTCTCAGCTCCACAGTAAACGTCTGCCGCTCACCCATCACCTCAAACGACGACGCAACCCTTACAGTATCACTATCACCACCACCACCGCCACTTTCCTCCATCGAATCAAAAGAATCGAGGTATCTAGGGCTTCAAGATTTTAGAGAGAGAATGTAAACCCTAGATTGAAGAAAAATTGGTTAGACAGAGAGAGGATGAGTAATTTTTTTATTTTTTTTTATTATTATTATTTTTTGGGGATCTTTGTTCTGCCTGAGCCTTTTAACCGCTAACCTGTGTTTCGGTGGATATCTCATAATCTGAATCGGTGAGACGGTGAGAGGAAGAGGGGGTGAATGGACAGTTTCATGTTCTAACCTGGATTACTTTATCTGGGTTAAGGTTTGCTTCATTTCCAAACATCATCCCTTGTTTTGGTTTTTTAATTATAAAAATTTGTTTTACTTATTCTATAGCAATGTATACTAATAACACAACACAGTGCCTTAGTTTTTTTTTTTTTTTATTTTAGAATCTTAAGTGGGTGGCATTAGTTTATTGGTCCCTGAGAAACTAATTTCTTGAAGTGGATAACTCAACATAATTTCTATACTTTTTAAATTGACAACTTTGAAATATCTAACCAATATCGTCCCATTTTCTATGTACTTAACAATGCATGATCTGGGTTTTACTTAATAAATAATTTAAATTACATATATATATATATATATATATATATATATATATTTAAATTAAATAATAAATAACTTTTATTTTAATTACTATTAAATCTAATTATTAATCTATTCTATAATTCATTGACTACCTAATTTGTCATTTGTTTAGATATCTTTTCATGTTTTTTAAACATTTCATCTTTTGTAAAATATAGATTTTATTGTTATTCTTATAGGTGTTCAAATTTTTGATTACTCGTAAGTTTCGATCTTATCTTACCTTGCCCGATCTCATTGATCGGTTACCAAAAAAAATCGGGTAGGGAAGCGAAAGATCTTTTGGTGTTCCGCAAAAGTCAGGTAAGATTGCTGAATACTTACAAAATTTTTGTATTTCTACCCTATCTTACGTGCACACACACACACACATATATATAATTCCTAAAAATTAAATTAAAAAATGTAGAAACCCTAATATTTTGTTGATGTTTGTGGTTTTATTGTATTGTTTATATATTATCGAATTTATTGTATTTTTTTAGTGTTATTAGTTTATCGTATTAGTTTATTGGTGCAGATCACTTAATTAAATTATTAAAATGATTTCAAAAATTAATAACTAAAAAATATATGTTCACCCGATTTTTATCCGACTATTTTGAACGGAATTTCGAGTATGAATAATGCACTTGATCGGATAGAGTAGGCAAAAAAAAAATATTCCATAAAATATTGGGTAAAAAAATAAAATACCATATTTCTTACTGTAGGGTATGATGAATACCCCAAGTTGTTCTTGAATATTTACAAAAGGGAGTATAGAGTTCACTATTAAAGAGAAACTAATTTTTGAAATGTAACAAGAGCTAAAGGAATAAGAAAAGTACATAATTTTGGCTCTGAAAATCGCTTTTTATCTTATTTATTAAAATATCGACTTAAGCATCGATTAATTTTAAAACTCTCTCTCTATCCGACTTATTTTCTAGATCCTCGAAAACTGATGCAAAACTTTTGAAAATTGAGATGGAGATCGACATAGTCCAAACAAACTCATATGAATGTTGGTGTAAATTTTGTACCAATAATAATTTTTAAATTTCAGCTCATTAAATGGGTCAAACATTTTGATTTATTTTGGTATTTAATTTTTTGTAAGTATCAAATAATTTAAAGATTAAAAAATTTAATATTTAATTTTCGATTTTATGAATATTGGTAAATTAAAGTCTCCAAAAGACATTGCACATCTAGATAAGTACGCCAACGAACGAGCGCCAAAACGAAAAAACATGAAATTATAGATATACACGTTGCAATTTTCAGTTTTTGTCTCGGCTGCAGATAATCAAAACCGAAACAATCTAATCCAGTCTTCCCTTTCTCTCTCCTCTCACTCCCCAGTAAAAGCACCGAAGCGCAGAAGCCATGAAAGCCACTCTCTTTCTCTTCACAACACCACCGCCACTTCTCTCTCCAAAGCTCCCCACCCTATCCCCAACATTTTCACCACACCTAGTCCCTACCCGCACCTCCATTTCCCTCAAGGCCAAGCTCAATTTCAGTCTCTCTCCGAGGCTCGACTTCAGAGTCCGGGCTGACGACGGTGACGCCGACGGGGGTGCTCCGGATGACTACGACATGGACGAAGATGAGGTAGAGGAGGTCGACAACAAGAAAGACTATGACGTCGAGTACGACCCCCTCGCTGATACTGCCTTCTCCGCCGTCCGCGGCGGTGATGATGTGGATGATATTGCCATGGTTTATAGCAAAAGCTTCGTGTCCACTCAGGGTTGGGACTCTGAAATGGTAGTTGATTATCGAATCAATGAAGATGAGTTTCACAAGATCAGCTTGCTTGATTGCGATTTCTTTATCAGGAAACCTCCTGATCCTGACAACGATGTCTACGATTTCAGAGAGGTGAATCTCTCTCTCTATATATATATATGTGTGTGTGTGTGTGTGTGTGTGTATACACATACAGAATATCGAATCTCGAATAAGTGGGGGTGCGCGTAAATGCTGATGAATTTGAGTTTTGTTTGGTGTTGTAGATGTATGTTACTCCTCCAGATACAGATATTTATGCAATCCCGAAGGTCCTTGCGCCGATGCCTCAGAAGGTAATTGACAAGCTTGCAGTATGTTGTATTGAGGTTCTGTGATTGTTGTTGCATAAATTCAGCAAAAATCATATTTCAAGCATTCAACAATTGTTACTGTTTGATCCTTTAATTTACAATTGCCTAGCTAAAGTGGTTTATTTTTTTTTTCATGCCTTGCATTTTGATAAAGTTGATCTGATATGTGAGTTTTGTTTTGATATTTCAACTAGCGTTGTTATTGTGTTTTGGTGAATTTTCAGTATATACGATGTGCAAAGAGTGATTATGGATGCTACAATGTTACAGAGCCACCAATTGATGCTCCTAGGGATCCCATGTATAAATCTGAGAGAGAAATTTTGAAGGTACGAGTTTATTTCGTGCCACCTTTGTTTTTTATTTTCCTGAAATTTTGTTCCGGTTTAATTTCTTGGTGAAATGTGTAAACATATTGAACTATGCATCTTTTGACCATCACTTTTCCTTTAGGCTTAAGGATCATTGTACCAAAAGTTCTCATAAAGGCATTACACCGGTTATGTATAAGTAACTCACCAGCCAACATTAGAAACATCCTAAACCTTGTGCTACAAGGATAAATTAAGTTTGCTCTGGTTAGTGTGGAAAAACTTCTTTTGATTTGATTTGAATTCTACTATGATTAGTGATGTTATCCAAAGTTCTAAGCCCACATACCTGTTAAGCGTGATTATGTGAATAATTTATTTAGTCACTTAAATCATAAATTCTGTTTGGGAGCATTTGATTGAGGTTATTAGAATTATAAAGATCAATCGATGACATATGTTTAAACGGGAAGCAGGGGATGCAAGGTGCCCCCTTTTGGTCCATGAGGCTTAAAGTGTGTGCAAAATTTAATTTTGGTCCTTCAATTTTCAATTACATCCATAATGTTTCCAATTGAGTGTAAACGGTCCTTAAAATTGTTGAAAGATGCCACACATGGCACTTGCGTTTCAATCTAAATGTCCACCATCAATTGGATTGTTTGATTTCAAATTGGAAACTCTAGAAACGTTATTGGAAAAATTGGTAGTTTAGCGATTACATTAATATTTCTCAGATACTTTTAGGACCAAAATTGGATTTTGTCAATTGGCATGTGTCATTTTCCGTAACCAATTTAAACATCCATCATCATATGGTCTATTTAAACACAAATTGAAACTTTATGGACTAAAACGACACAATTGGGAGAATATGGACTGCATACTTTTAAGTACTAAAATATATTGTCCAGAGTTCTAACCAATGTAGATAAGGATCACTCATTATATTTCATTATGCCACATTTCTGGGAGCAGTGTAACTAGGTTGTCTCTGTTACATTCTGTTACAGATATTCTTGACAAAGCACTATAGGAATCGAAGGTTGGGGGATCTGGAGTTTGTGTTGGATTTTGAGGAGATCTATGTTATTGATTCAAAATCTAAGTCTATTACCAGAGCAAAAGTTGTGGTAAGGAATGGTGATAACCGTCAGTCAATTGCTCATTTCTTCCCTTTTGAGTTTTAATTTCTTTGGAATGCATTGAATCATTTAATCATGTTTTGCAAGTGCTTGGGTATAATTGTGAGAGACTAATTGGAAGGGGTTTGAGTGAGAGTCTGATCTGCCACCTTTATCATCCTTGTTCCTGATCTCCATGGTGAATATATTTCTCTCTTCAATTGTGGGTGTAGGTCTGAAAACATAAATCTTGGTTCTCTTTTCATTTAATTTTCTGCTTGGATTGTTTTGGGTTAAACTCTCTGGTTTGTTGTGCTTCCACATAACACAAAATAGCATCCGTAGAGAATGAGAAAAGTTCAGAGATCATACATGTCCTGAAAATTGAACTATTGCCCATGATAATTGTGGAAATTCTGTGGTTCACCAAGAGAAGCCTCTTTTGTGTCTGTGTTCCGGCATTGCTAATTCATGAAATAATTTTTATTGCTTATCTTTTTAAGTTTTGGTTAAATTATTTCTATTACGGTTGATACCCTTCATATGATTTCCTGAGCTCTTGCTGTTGCCCCTTTCATTCTGTTTACATTGTTCTTTCAATAGGTCACAGTTCCAGAAGGCCGAAATAGGGATAGAAAGAATGACTTGCTGGTTATACGTGATAATGGAAACTCCTTCAAAATAATTCCTCCGGTGACTATTCTATTCCAAAACATATTTTTATTTTGTGCTTGCTATGCTTTGGTTGTTTTTTGACATCTCCTATGTTTTTCAGAGTGAAAGAGAGGATGCTACCACTGTGATAGAGAAAGAAGAGTGGAATAAAACTAGACAAGACATGGAAAGACACCTTAGAAAGCTCCGGGACTTCAACGTTTCAAATTGGTTCTAATCAGCTGCACTTTGATTTTGAAATTTAGTGCTGGAAGATGATTGGTTCAGCACCTGTGCAAATCTTCTCAGCTTCAGCATATATATTTGCAACCAGGTGTGCATGTTATTCCTTTCTCAAAGATATTTCAGCTGATGAGTATAGAAGGGCATTCTTAGCGTCTGATAAATTGCAGGTATTATACCTTCGGCTTTTTTTGCAAGCTTTTGGAAGTTCTTCGCCCTGAGGTTGTCTGTATAACAGTGTGGTTGATAAAAATTACCCTATGAACGAGCTCTAAGAGAAGTTATTATTGATGTCAAGCTTGTGAAGCTTATGAGATATTTATACCATATGGCGATATTGTGGGAAAAGCATGATGGTATTAGAGGGTTTTGTCTGGAGAATGAGCCTAATTTCTTTTCTTTGTGCCACATTTTGTAGATTTGTGATAACACTAATTAACCTGAACTCATTGGGTTTGATCTTCCATTTTTTTTTTTAATGCAAAATTTATTACCATTTGTGTGCGGCTGTGTATGTGTGCAGTTGGTGCATGTGTTGATGTCTAATTTAGACAACCTGGATTAACAGAGGCTGGGGTTTTGATTCAAATTGTGAGCATTATTCCTTACATTTTTAATACCAATGGATATTAGTACTGATAATAAAAATTATTTTAATTCCATCTCTTGTTTGTTTATTCAATAGGTACTATGGTGGATTTTACAAACAATCATCTATTCGATCACATCTTATATAACAAATATATTATTTTATCATTCATCATTCATTCTATTCAAAATAATACAAGAAAAAAATTTAAAATAATTTTTTTTAAAAAAAATTTGGTAACTTTGTACACTTAAACATAATACAAAAAAAAAAAACTAAAAAAAAAATCGTTGATATCGCACGCTTCAACGCTTAAATATAATATAAAGAAAAATTTTGAAATAATTTTTTTTTAATTTTTTTAAAAAAAACTGTTAAAAATGTACGCTTAAACATAATAAAAAGAAAAATTTTTAAATAATTTTTTAAAATAATTTTTTTTAAAAATTCGTTAACACCGTACACTTAAACATAATATAAAAAAAAAAATTTAAAATAATTTTTTTTTAAAATATATAAAAAAAAGCAGTGACATCGTACGCTTAAACATAATATAAAAAAAAAATTAAAATAATTTTTTTATATGTGAACTCTTTAAATAGGAGGACATTTATATCATTTTATTCTCTTATACCGACCTTTCATTTGTACCGAGAAGATAATACCACCTGATAGGTAGTATTCATTAATGCCATATAGAAAGCATTTAAGTCACTATTAATACCGGGTCGGTATTAGGATAGTAAAATGTCAAATAAATAGGGTATAAGGTGAGTTCCATGTACTATTTTCTTAATTCTATCTCATTATATTACCCTTATCCTCCAACTAAACGTGCCCATATGGTATAAACTATAAACCAAGATTGGGTTGGGACTGGACGGATGGTCTTACCCGCCCAATTCAGATGAATTACACTCTATCTCTACTGCGTATTCAGTCTTTACTTAACTCGGCCACTCCTCGATAAATTGTATTTCAAATTGGATAAATGTTTTAGCCCGATGTCTAGTGAGCCGAAGACTTAATGCTAGTAGACCAATTTAATTTGATAGACTATGAGGAAAAGAAAAGATTCTCATTTTTTTCTAAAATATGAGAAAAAATGACCCAAAAAATAAAGTCCTATTTGGATTGAATCTTAGACACCGTTTTTTGTTTTCAGAAATAGTTTTTGAGATAAAAGTTACTTGGTCAGTTATTTTTTGAAAATTGAAAATAAAAATTAGGTAGATTTAAAGTATAAGTTAGAGTTATTTTGTATATTTTTGAAAATAAACTTTCTAAAATTTAGAAAACATCACCACCATACCACCACCATCACCACACTCTCACCACTACCATCACAAACACATTTTTATTTTCATTGTTTTTGAAGTTATTGTCTAAATAAGTTTTACTATTTTTTATTCTATAGAACTATTTTTAAAATCATATAACCAAATATATTTTGCGACACAAAAAATATCAAAAATAATTTTTTTAGAGCAAAACAAACAGGGTATAGATATTACAGATTTCTAAAAGCCTATTTGAATGGATTGGCACAGTTCACATCTTGGGGTAACTTTGAACTGGGCTTAAACCCAACAAATTTCACCTCCTCTATGACACAATTTCGGTAAGTCCTACAAACAACAGGGAAGAAAATATTGAATGCAATGATGTTATCACGGTTACGCAGTACCATAGAAGATTTAATCATTGTATAGTGACTGACATCACGTAATAATGATGACTGAATGGATTGATAAATTATGATTATATTTGACAATTAGACTTGGACACGTGACAGATTACACGTGTTGTTGAAAAAAATTATTTGGAATGACTCTACTATGATTGAGCAAGTAGCAAGGCTATTCGGGCCGAGCTAAAGTTGGTACAATCGAACAGATAGCTAGGCTATCCCGACCGAGCAAATGACTAAGCTATCCCGACCGAGCTAAAATTGGTCTGACCGAGTAGAGGATAAGATCCAACTAAACAAATACTTGAAAAGTCAAAGATGGTGTTAGACGACCAATGAGGAAATGACCTAAATCATAAGAACACATAATTAACATGTGACCTAAATCATCTAATGAGAAAGGAAATCTTATTAGGGTCAAACATGAAGTAAGGAATGAATGATTGAAATTTAGGTATGCCACCACATTCTAACAAGGAAGGTAGTCTTGAATAATCGGGGACAGACTCTCTATAAATACCAATAAAGCTAAAGTCTAAGGTATGCACTTTTTGTCTAACAAATTGAATACACTTTCTCGTGTTATTACTAACTTTAGTATCGGAGTGCCTCTGGCCGGTATCCCACTTGTCTGTGACAGTTTGTTTATTTTGCAGATTAAAGGCGATCTCGAGTACTCATTTCAAATGAATCTTTTTATTTTGATAGGTGTGAATTTTTTCCCCTACAATGACTTAATGTCATCGTAGCATTAGTCATATTTTATTTATTTATATATTTATTTATTTGTAGTTAAAAGGTAAATGCAAATAGACATATTTATTCTAGTTAAAAAGTTAAAATATAAGTTCTAGGCTCCGTTTGATTTGAAAGAAATCGATGGTATAAAGTGAAACGGTAGAAAGTGAAGTAAAAGAAAAGAAATAAAAAAAATTATTTTTTTGTATGCGTTTGATTATAATGAAAAGTTTACTAATAAAATATAAACAATTTGATGTAAATATTAAATTTTCCTTATCATATCAATTTAACACACACAAACCCTACGGATAAAAATCGAATAATTTAAGTTTCTAACACGAATAAGATCCATTTACCACTTTAGTTCAATTGGTTAAAAAAAAAAAAGNATCATATAACCAAATATATTTTGCGACACAAAAAATATCAAAAATAATTTTTTTAGAGCAAAACAAACAGGGTATAGATATTACAGATTTCTAAAAGCCTATTTGAATGGATTGGCACAGTTCACATCTTGGGGTAACTTTGAACTGGGCTTAAACCCAACAAATTTCACCTCCTCTATGACACAATTTCGGTAAGTCCTACAAACAACAGGGAAGAAAATATTGAATGCAATGATGTTATCACGGTTACGCAGTACCATAGAAGATTTAATCATTGTATAGTGACTGACATCACGTAATAATGATGACTGAATGGATTGATAAATTATGATTATATTTGACAATTAGACTTGGACACGTGACAGATTACACGTGTTGTTGAAAAAAATTATTTGGAATGACTCTACTATGATTGAGCAAGTAGCAAGGCTATTCGGGCCGAGCTAAAGTTGGTACAATCGAACAGATAGCTAGGCTATCCCGACCGAGCAAATGACTAAGCTATCCCGACCGAGCTAAAATTGGTCTGACCGAGTAGAGGATAAGATCCAACTAAACAAATACTTGAAAAGTCAAAGATGGTGTTAGACGACCAATGAGGAAATGACCTAAATCATAAGAACACATAATTAACATGTGACCTAAATCATCTAATGAGAAAGGAAATCTTATTAGGGTCAAACATGAAGTAAGGAATGAATGATTGAAATTTAGGTATGCCACCACATTCTAACAAGGAAGGTAGTCTTGAATAATCGGGGACAGACTCTCTATAAATACCAATAAAGCTAAAGTCTAAGGTATGCACTTTTTGTCTAACAAATTGAATACACTTTCTCGTGTTATTACTAACTTTAGTATCGGAGTGCCTCTGGCCGGTATCCCACTTGTCTGTGACAGTTTGTTTATTTTGCAGATTAAAGGCGATCTCGAGTACTCATTTCAAATGAATCTTTTTATTTTGATAGGTGTGAATTTTTTCCCCTACAATGACTTAATGTCATCGTAGCATTAGTCATATTTTATTTATTTATATATTTATTTATTTGTAGTTAAAAGGTAAATGCAAATAGACATATTTATTCTAGTTAAAAAGTTAAAATATAAGTTCTAGGCTCCGTTTGATTTGAAAGAAATCGATGGTATAAAGTGAAACGGTAGAAAGTGAAGTAAAAGAAAAGAAATAAAAAAAATTATTTTTTTGTATGCGTTTGATTATAATGAAAAGTTTACTAATAAAATATAAACAATTTGATGTAAATATTAAATTTTCCTTATCATATCAATTTAACACACACAAACCCTACGGATAAAAATCGAATAATTTAAGTTTCTAACACGAATAAGATCCATTTACCACTTTAGTTCAATTGGTTAAAAAAAAAAAAGCAACATATGTAACAAAATATTTGATTCAACATTAAATGTACACCTGATATTTTTAAATATACTCTTGAATTCGATACGAATTTAACTAAACACAATATGAGTTCACTAAACATAATTTATATGTGATACAACTCTATTAAATATGTTTTAAACATGATTTAGTTAGGTGTAGATTGGACAAATATTAACACAATATTACTTAAATATAACACTATATGGTCTAATTATTTTTATTTTATTGTGAGCAAAATATTCAATTTCTTCTCACTTCTGTTGTTGAATTTGGACAGTACTTGGGTTGAGTGCCCAAGTCACCCGATTGAACTCGAATATATAAATTAGACTCAATCCAAATTTCAAATCAAGTTCAACTTGAATTCTAAATCGAGCTCAACCTAAATATACTTAAAAATAAATATATAAATCAATATATCAATATAACTTACAAGTTAAAATACTAGGAATCAGTCTTCTCCTTCATTCTTATGTTAAACATTTTGGCTATTATGTCTTTATGTTAAACATTGATTTTTATGTTTTAAATATTATGGTTAATGATGTACAAATTGATTTTGTACACCACCTGTTAAGTAATTAATGCATATAATAAAATAAAGAGAGAAAACTCAACACAAACAACACACAATTTAAGTGGTTCGGTCAATGTAACCTACTCCACTGTAAAGAGCTAGAATGGCTTGAGTGTTTTATTGATGTAGGAGTGTAAGGAGATCAAGTGAGAGCAATGAGAGCTCAGGTGAAAGTAACGAGAGTGGTACCAGATGTGATCCCTTGTGTGAGATGCCCCCTATGTATAAGTGGGGCTCACATTTTATAGTCACCTTCTAACGGATTGAGGTGGCTTATTAGTAACTAAAAGGTTAATTTGGTAGAGGTGATGTCATCTTTGCAACGGATAAGACTGTTGCAGGACTCTCCTCAAAACCAGATCTTAGAATGACGTAGTTGACTTCTTTACTCCTTTCTTTAAGGCGGCGTATATGAAGCTCTTGAGATGACCATACCTACTTCTTGATAACTTGACTCTTGGAGCTTGATTAAGAATGAATCTCTTTTAGATTGGATCCATTGGATTTCGTATAGGTGGATCCTTTATCCAAGTTGGGCCCACAACTTGAGTTGGGTCTTAGTCCGGGTCCATCAATGGTTTTTATATTAAATATTTGATTAAAATTGTTGATTATTACTTTAAGTAAATATTTTATTGGACTTAAATGAACTTAACTGAAATTCTAACCCGAAATCAAACAGAATTATGTAACTCGAATGTAATCATAATTCTAATTAAAAATTTGACCAAATTACGTAACTCGAATTTATTCCGAGACTGTCCGAATTAAACTTATGTACTATTTGAGTTTAATACCTTAAATTGAGGTCAAGATAGAATTATGATTAGAACTGAAAATTATATAAATAAAATTAGACTAAGGTTCACCCTTCACACCGTCCAAAGTTGCACCCTTAGGTTTCAAGCAATGTGACATATCCAAACGTGTCCTTAATATTGGAAGATATTAACAATTTTGAACCCAGAACAATTCCTTCCTTAGGTGTAGAGACAATTGCAAGACTTTTCTTGTCACTTTTATGCTTTTAGTACCTTTTGTTCTATGACTAAACATCTGATTTTGATTTGATTTGATGGTTAAGATTTCATTAACGCATTATCGTAAGTGCTATCACTCAAACCCTAGACTAGGGAAACACAGAATCCAAGATCCTGAACTGTGACACGTGTCCAGTCCAACCTCCACACATGTTACTTATCAAAGCCTTTCAAATTTTTTTTTTCTAATAAAAATGTGGAGACAGTAGAATACTCGTAGACCATTCCAATAGACCTCACTAATGGGATTACGAGACTTTTAATTGCATCCGTTATTTTTTTCAAAACAAACTTAACTTGACTAACATAATAGTTAATCATCGAACCCCAATATGAACACTAAAATTCAAACATCCAACCTTAAAATAAAAAATTTGACCGATACTCCAATAAACCACCCTAATCGGTGTCCTTCTAGTTTCAAACTTTACTTTAGTCCCCTATAATTACTCAAGTGTATTACCCTAATTAGCTTCCTATTAGGCAATACCTGATTATAACCTGAAAATGTTATTTAGACTTAAAATATTAAGATAATTTGTTGATTTGATTAATCATAATTATTAAATAGATAATGAGTTTTAATAAATATTAAAATTTATAATTAAATTAATAATAATGATTAATTAAATCTGGTTAATATTTTAAGTTCAAGTAACATTACTCAACAACTGGTCTTTTCTATCTCTCACACACACATGCATACAATTACATTATCAAAGGTTACAATTATACACAGGTTGAATATAATTTTTTTTGGGTTAACTTACTATTCATTGCAATCAAGTTATAACAAAAGATTAAAATCAATAATAAAAATATTACGAGCAATTCCAATTTCCAATTTCCAATTTCCAATTTCCAAACATCCACATTTTATAGTAATCTTACTAAATTAAATTGTAACTTTCAATCTTATTTTTAGTATATTTTTGGTAGAATACAGTGGATCATATGTATAAATAGATTTATTTTTATGCGAAAAGACATAAATGATGCGTGTGAGAGAGAGAGAGAGAGAAACCCAAAGGGTAAGAAGGTGCAACAAGGTTGGTTAAGAAGATGGAGCATTTGAGCAAAGCTAAGTCAGACAACAGAAATTAGCAACTGGCTTGGCTTTGTCAAAACCCCATAAACAAACCATCTTGGCTGAGCTCTTCGAAAGTTTCCTGTCTCCCAACCAATTGTGGAAAAGACTCTTCCATTACTTTCCTCTCTCCTTCTCTCATTCCTCTTTATTTTCTCTTCTTCTGTCCCACTTTCACATTCTGCAGGAAGAGAAAAAGAAAGTTTGGTGGTAGAGAGAAAGAGAAAGGCCATGGGGAGAGGTAAGATTGAGATCAAGAGGATAGAGAACACAAGCAACAGGCAGGTCACATATTCTAAGAGAAGAACTGGGATCATGAAGAAGGTTAAGGAGATCACTGTTCTCTGTGATGCTCATGTCTCTCTGGTCATCTTCGCTAGTTCTGGCAAGATGCATGAGTACTGCAGCCCTTCTACCACGTATCTCTCTCTCTCTCTCTCTCTCTATCTCTATTTCTCTCTCTCTCTCTCTCTATCTCTCTCCTTCATGGTTTGGGTTATGTGGGTTTTTGGAATTTCATGAAGGTTGATCAAAATGTTGGAACGATACCACAAGGCGTCTGGAAAGAAGTTGTGGGATGCTAAGCATGAGGTGGGTTTGATCCCCCTCCCCTTCTCTCTTTTTCTCTCTCCCTCCTTCCTGAGTTTTCATCCCACCCGTTTGTCCATATTTTTGCCTGAAAGCATCTGGTTTTTCTGCTTCTCCCACTGTAAGACGACACGACTTTTTGCTAAAAATATGTCAAGTAACTTGAAACATGGATTCTATGAACAGATCTACAAATAGGAAGTACTTGTCTCTTTCTAGACCTCTACCCCCCTCTTCAGTAGTATTTTATTGTTCCTTCATGGCAAGAAACACAGAAAACTATATGAGATGTTACATCTATGAACAGATCTGGTAGTAAAATGTTATTCTTTCTCTTCTTTTCCTTTGCAAAAAAAGTGATAACTTGTGTTCTCTTTAATTTATTTTGCACATACAAATTCATTTTATTTTCCATCAAATAGACCAATATTGATGAAAGCTCTTTGTGCCCAGTTCTCAAGTTTGATTATTTTGTTACTGTCCAAAAAGGTTTACAACAACATGTAACATAAAGACTATGAAAAGACCTAGTACATATTTTTTATTTTTCCTCCATTGTCCATGGATCTGTGTGGTTCTTGTTATCTAAAAATAACCTTTGTGGGTTTTTGCAATAATTAATACAAAATATATAACAGAATCTCAGCAATGAAATTGATAGAATCAAGAAAGAGAACGAGAACATGCAGATTGAGCTCAGGTAGGGGTCTCTCTCTCTCTCTTCTCTCTCCACTCCTCTTCTTTATTTCTCTCCCTGCTTATAGTGTTTATGTTGCAGGCACTTGAAGGGGGAAGACATCACATCTTTGCAATACAAAGAGCTTATGGCAATAGAGGACGCCCTTGAAATCGGGCTTTCTAATATTCGCAACAAACAGGCAAGTCTCATAAAAACCTTCACCTGTTGATTAAAGCCCATGATACATCTTCTGAACTCAAAACAATATCTGATCTCTCTCTCTCTCTTTTCACTTTCTGTATATAACAGATGGAGTTCTTCACGATGATGAAAAGAAATGTATGTACAGATCGTATTACCTTCTACTTGGTATTTTATAGTCTGACTCTATCCCTATATGTTAGATTGTTATATATATGGATGGTAAGATTTCGGTAGCTAACGAGTTATAGTTGCAAGTTTATCTTCTTTTCGTTAACTTAAAACTATTTTAAATTAGGTCACAAGCACATGAGATCAAATTATGATAAAAAAAAAACTTAGATTCAATTTTAAACAATTTTATTTTGATGTATTCTCACCCGATTGAGTTGTAAATTCATCCTTTAGTTTATAATAATTTCGGTATAGTATTGAAAAAAACCATTTCAATATTGTAGTATTACTCTTACAATATGTATATATGTCAATCTAGTATGTCTTCTCTTTGTAGTCAAATAGGAATAAGAATACAAGTGCCAAAGGCTTATTATTTCTGCTAAAGGAGAGAAAAGCTAGTTACTTTGATGTTTTGGCTGAAAACTGTTTCAGGAGCAAATTCTGGAGGAGGAGAATCAGGAGCTGATGAATGTCTTGGTATGTTCATCATCTTCCCCATGATGTCCATACATATGCATCTAACAAATATGCTTGTGCTTTGTATGTTTATGTACATGCTACATATGTGTGTATGGGAATATGTATTTGCAATATGCTAGCTTGTGTGTGTGTTGTAAGAGTACCGCTACAATTGAACCTAAATTACTGACTTAATCATACATAATTATTGGATTGATAGTGGAGTACAGTTTTTGGTGAATTCCGTTACTAATTCAATGATTGTGATGTATTGAGTCAATAAATTATGTCAACAAATTAGGTTTAAATGGTATTATTAATTTTGCAAAGAATTACGAAGACATCAATGTAGCTAAATTATCTTTATTGTCTATTCCTAATTGGAAAAAATATGAAATATCAACATTTTTAAAGGATTGGTGCCTGCATATGAGTCACCACCAAGAAAGTTACAACATAATTTGCATTTTAGCCTTATAGTCTACCACTAGTTCATTTTCTATGTCACAAAAATAAAGTTCAATAGAAGTTAATTTTCTGGGATAAAATATTGTTAAGACTACCTTATACACTGTCATGTTAGAAGACGAAGACCGTAGGGGGTGTGGAAGTGTTATTGTTGGGATCACGCAACAAATAACTCAACTCAAGATATTGTACTCCATTATAATCTTCATATTTATTGTTATATACTAGCAATAATTCGTACTTAAAGACACTAAATAATATAAATAAATTGAACATTAGTCTTGCAGAATAAATATATGAAATAATAATTTATTATTTCTTTCTTATCTATAATTTGTACAATTTAAAATCAATTTTGTCCCACCATTTTAATAAAAAATTGGGAGAGAAAAGATTTTGTTTGACCTTGGAATGAGGTGTGTGAAATTTTCAACTTTGGAGAAAATTTGACTTTGATTAACGTGAAAAGGTATAGGCTTGAAAAAAATTTTGTTGAGTGAATTTCAATCGCTTTTGTGCTAAACTAAGTTGAGAGTTTCAAAATGAGTCATGTTTTATTATAATAGATTGTATTTTGTTGGTTATTTTTAAAAACTTGAAAAACAAATAACACTAACTTTAATCAAAATATACGAAGCAAACTAGTAATTGCTGTTAATTATTTTTATAGAAAGCGATCACCCAACTGAGAGGTAAGACCATTAATTGTTTTAAAGCAAATATTATAATAACATTATGTTAAGATGTCAAACGAGTTCCATATCGGTCGGTGATGAGAGGTCCTGAGTCATTGACTCAAGGTCGCGGGTCACTCCACCTAGTAGGTGCGCCTTTTGGGCTGGAAATCCATGTCCAGCGCATTAAGCATGAATTTTGCATACAACTGAACCACATATAGCCATCGTTGATCTTAACAAAAGCTTGGTTCTGTTATTTTGAACCGTGTATGAAATAATGTAATTGATTTATATACTTGGTATCAATGTTTGCAGCGCCAACAAGAGTTGGTAGCCATGGAAGCTAATGTGAGAGAGTCTCATGGTGGATACCATCAGAGAGTGAGAGACTACCAGACTCAGATGCCTTTCGCCTTTCGCGTCCAGCCGATTCAGCCGAACTTGCAGGAGAGGCTTTAGAGCTGTGAGTGCTGTATCTAAGCTCTCTGCCTAGGTTTCTTCTGAGAAAACCTTTAATGTTTCATGGTTTGAGATCTTTAACTCCTTAAGCAAGTAACTATGGGTGCATTTTGTAATAAGTTAAACTTAGGGTTTAAACAATCAATACTCTGACAGTGTTTCTCATCATCATGGTGTTTTGGTTAATTATTTAGGTAAATATCCAACTTACTTAAAAAAAAAAATTTGGGTCGATAAATTGATTTAAAAGCTCGAGCTATAAATTTCTCCAGGTATTGACAAATTTATCGTACTTAATTTTAAACAGATATTCCCTTGAATTGACAGATTTTAGAGGCCGGCTTTGGACCATAAAAAGTGTTCATTTGCTCGAGCCATAGTCATAACTTTGAGTTTGGATGTTTATCTCTCTAAAATATAAATGATAATGCCAACCACGCGTAGGAGATTCAATATATTTTTTTTTTTTTAAAGTGATTGTCAACTACCATTTAAACTTGACCCTGTGATGTTTACATTTTTTTTTAATGTTCCCAAAATTATATTTTTCATGGTATGTACAGATTAATCGTTTGGATTTGGATCTTTATCNTTTATTATTATTATTTTTTTAAAGTGATTGTCAACTACCATTTAAACTTGACCCTGTGATGTTTACATTTTTTTTAATGTTCGCAAAATTATATTTTTCATGGTATGTACAGATTAATCGTTTGGATTTGGATCTTTATCAATACATTTTTCCTTTATTCTCTCTTGATGATAGGTTGTCTCTAGAGGTTGCAAAGGACACTCAAAGTAGGTTTACTTGAATTTGTAGTGAGTGATTTTAATTGAATACATATGCTTGTAACAAAAACGTACCCTCAGGTTGATAGAATAAGATTCCGAGTGATAATATTGGTCCGAGAAAATTGTAAAGAGTAAATGAGTAATGTTACGTTAACCAAAAAAATATATATAAAAAATACGGACTAAATAAAATGACATTGCAATAATGATGTTTTTGACTCACTTCTATTCATTTAAAATTCAAGAATTATTTATACCACATTATTCGGACTATAATTTCATTATCTATTTTTAGTCGGTTTAATATTACTCAATCGCAAATATCATTTTTTTCAATGTGAAATTGTCCTAATTCAATTTCATTTTATGCCAATGTAATTGTTCAAATGCTGCTATATGCCAGATTTATCATGGACACAAATACAATCGTGACACTTTGACAGTTTTTGTTTTTTTGGGTAAGTGACACTTTGACAGTTGAGACCCTACAACAATCCCTCCCTTCTGAGCAGAGACAATTGCAACACTTTTCTTGTCAACCTTTTGCTTTTTGACCTTATACCTATTGGAGTTGATTACACCACCAAAAAAAAATAAAAAATAAAATTGGTATGGTATTTTAATTTATTGAGTTCTTTTATTATTATAGTGGTACTCATAAAAATAATTATCACAATAATAATAAAAATATGATAAAAACACGTACAAATATGATAAATCACTTATAAAAGTGATAATTTTTTTTTATATAGAATAAAAATAATTATCATAAATATGATAAAAATATCTACAAAAATGATAAATCACTCACAAAAAAAATAATTTTTTTATTATAAATTAACTAATAAAAATTATAAAATACCTATTAAAATAGTAAAAGTTTTTTTTTTGTGAACACAACACTAATCACTTATTCTATCAGAGTAAAGGCTAGTGAAGATATTTAAATTACTCACGCACCCAGAGGCTATCTGATGTAGGATAGCCCTAACTCCCACCACCCAGACACAAAGACACCTGTCTCAAAAAGGAGAGAAGTTGAGTCCGACCACCGAACGCCTTAATGACGTATTTTTTTATTTTTTTTTAAGCACAACATTATTCACTTACTCTAACAATATAAGACTAGTGAAGAAATTTTTTTATTTTTTTAAATAGCAAAAATTGAAGGTAGGGTATCATCACTCAAATCCTTTACAATTATTCATATGACCAAACATTTGATTTTGATTTGGTTTGATTTGATGGTTAAGATTTCATTAACAAACCACTTCATGTGCCATCACTCAAACCCTAGACGATCAAGACCATCCGGACTCCAAGGTCCTGAACTTGACACGTGTTCAGCCCCGATGCACCAACCCCCCCCCCCCCCCCCCCCCCCCCCTCCTTTTTTGT